ATCTTTATGTAATAAAAATTTAAGTATTTTCTTGACATCCTATATTGTGAGGGACATTTCTTAATTAATAAAGATATTTTAATTCAAATAAACTTTATACAAATTAACATTATATATACCATGACTAAGAAGATCAATGAAATAGATAAACAGCGAGAAGCACGTCTTAAACGTGAAAGAGAACAAAAATGTCAAAAAAGATCAGAAGAGACCTTCAAGCAACGTGAGACACGACTTGTAAGGATGCATGAACGAAAAAAGGAAAGAATATCAAACGAGAATAGTGAAGAATATGAAATGCGCCTTACTTGTGAGAGAGAACATAGGCGTAAATCGCGTGTTCAAGTACTAACTCAAAGACGTATGAATATACAACATAAGGAGGCAGCAACGTGAAATCAAAAAGCAACGCAAAAAAATAATAATAACTCACCCACATATATAGCACCACTTGCACCACTCTCAGCCACTACTATTAGTGAGAAAGAACATCATATCTTACAGGATTTCCGCGAAAAAATGGATAGCATTCAGTATAATTCTTGTCTCGTGTGTAACGAGTGAATTCCATTAATGAAGATTAAAAATGGAATGTGTTATCGCTGTTGCCTAAATAAATCGTTAACAAAGAAATTTTCAGCGGCAAATAATATGGATCCAGGAAACGTGCCCAAAGAACTTAAAGGGCTTTCAGAAATAGAAGAGATGCTAATCGCTCAAGTATTCGTGGTAATGTCAGTATACCGACTTCGAGAAGGTCAAAATGAATATAGAGGAAACGTTATAAATTTTCCTCAGGACGTACATAAATTCATGAAACAACTACCACAGCACTCATCGTCTTTGGATATTCTCGTAGTATGAAGATCGACAAATGAATCAACCACACATAAAGATTTCCACGTACGTCGAGAAAAAGTTGCTGCTGCACTGTTATAGTTAAAAGTAACAATTATTACTATAAAGAAATCATTATCGACGATGAAGTTCTCCGATCTTTACACAAAGATGGATCTATTGTTAATAAACTTCCACAGATTCAAAATGATCAATCAAGAGAAGAGATCTTAGGTAATGATGAGAGAAGTGATATTGTGTACTTTCGTACCATCTATGCCTTCGGTAAATCGCGAAGAAGTAGTCATTAATGATTGTAAAAGTCTTAAATAAATTATTAGTGATTTTAAAAAAAGACAGTGAACCTTAGCGATTGTAATTTTAACGCCAACAGAGTTGGGACTTTATTAAGGTCAAAAGGGCATCCTTTTATACATGTCGGCTTCATACAACGTAAAAATACATAAATAAATAAATATAAAAATACATATATCTATATTGGGCTTAACCTCCGGAGACATATGTACTTAATTAACATAATGAAACGAAAAAGTAAATAAAAGAAATAAAAAGGAAAAAGATATGCACACTCTATGGCCTTATGCTCCTAATTTAGTTACATTAACTCATAGTAATTGAATTAGTGGCGTTTGGCGGCGTGTCACATCGTCAGGGGTTAGAATCGCACCATACATGCATCTGACAGTCGTCTGGGAGCATGTCTCAGACTCGCAGGTCGTCAGGGGCGGATCAGATACCTTCCGGGGCATCCGGTTCACAGGCGTAGTATGGGTCCTGTGGTACAGTCAAGGTCAGTATTGTTACAATGATACACTTGATTGCATACAGAGCAATAATCCTCCTTTAATGTGGCCGGAGATTGAGGACACTCCTATAAATGAATTTCAAACACCCGGTTATATGGTGCAAGCATTTCCAACACTCTACCCATATGGTCGCAGTGATCTTCGTTTCAGATGTGAGAGAGAAGTTAAGCCAGCCAAATATTTTAGGCACTTAATTTGATATAAAGATGGAAGATTTGCTCAGCATTCGCATTGGATATAGTTCTCGCTAAACTCGTTAATGAGGTGGAGAGCATTGCAAGAAGGAAAAGTTTACGTAAAACAGAATTTGAATAGTAATCAGATTGGAGTTGCAGAAATCTAGGAGATGATTACCACAGTGATAAAAATCTAGCAGATAGGATTATGAGATATGGTGAAGGTTTGCGCGAATCAAGACAATTTTGAATGGCACGGCGTTATGAATTATCGGACATGATAAGACAAATAGGTCATCAAGGCTTAATATTCTTTACCTTCAGTGCGGTGGATTTTTATTGGCCAGAACTCCATCATTTAATGCCAAATGACAGGAAAGAATCTGATTCGAACCAAAAACGTATGCAGAACATTATCTACAATCTGCATATAGTCGCATGGTTTTTTAATAAACGATTCGAAACTTTTCTTCATGATATACTTATACTACGATGGAACCTGGTCGATTGGTGGTACAGATATGAGTGGTAACATCGTGGAAGCGTACACGTGCATGGCATTAGAAAGATAGGGATGCACCTATAATCGATTGGATGCAGATGAAAGAAAACGAAAATGAGATGCAAAATATAATAAAATTCATTGATTCGATAGTTACCACAATTTACCTGGGAATTGACGTGGCAATACCGGAACAACACCCTTGCCAAAAATGTAGTAATGAAATAGTTGATGATTCACAAGATTATATAGATTAATTAACAAGTTACAGCGTCATACCTGTTGTAGCCCTTTGTACTGTATTTGTGTTGATAAAAAACAGGTCATCAAAAATATAGGTTCAGGTATCCAAAGGATCATAATAAACGTACATTCATATACGAAGATAATAATAGGTAGCCAGAATTAGTAACAGCAAGAAATGACCCATACATCAACCCACACAATCGACTCCAATTGCAAGGTTGGCGTGCTAATATCGATCTTAAGCCAATCCTTAGCATCCATGCAGCCTTGCAGTATATCTCTAAATATGCGAGTAAAGCAGAACCACGGTCAATGGCATTTTCTGATATATTTAGTCACATTCTTAGTAACAGCGATCCCAATGATTCTCCACTTACTGTGGTCCAGAAACTTCTGCTCAACAGTGTTGCGAAACGTGACATATCTGCTCAAGAAACCTGCCACCTTCTTCTTAGTATCCCTCTCTATCACTCAAGTCACCAGTTTGTTTCTTTAAATCTTAATGAAGAAGCCGCAAGATGGATTTGTGGTACAGGAAGGAGAGAAGATGGTGAAGATTTTATCACAATTGAAGATGCAGGACGTACGACACAGTCATTTCTCCAAAAATACCAGAACCGATCCGAAGAGCTTGAAGAAATTTCATTATTTAAGCTATATCTAACATATAAATATATCAGTGGGAATTGGAGAAAGTGCAATAACGAAAATATTGTGAGAATATGGCCACGACCATTTTCTTTACGTAACAGACATCAATGGGAGGAATTTTGTCGAATAAAGATTCTTCTTCATGTTCGGCATCAAAGTCTGCAAGAGCTAAATAAAAGTAATATCCCTTGGTCAACACTTTATAATTATCATCTTGATATGATTGACGGCAATCCAAATGATATGCTTGGAAACCCTATAGATAATGAAGAAGAATTTTCTAATGAAAGCCAAGGTGAACAGACTAAAGATGACGAAGAAGAAGAATATCAGTACGATTGGATGCGCCTTGCAGAGATGGGTCCAAATGTAAGGATAGTTACTTTATCGGATCTAGGAGCCCATGACATGGATCGAGATCATGACTGGGTTAATGACTCTTAATAGCATTATTCAGATGCTAATATAGTAGATGCTCGTGATTTCATGTATAATGCTTCGAGAAATGGGAATAATATTAGAAAAAGAGAACACAATTTAAATAATTATCAGAATCTAAACGAAAATCAAAAAAGGATTTCTAATAAAGTAGAATCACACTATAACAATATTCTCAGAGGAAATCAAGTTGAAGCATTAAAGATTATTATAATAGGAACTGCAGGAACAGGTAAATCTTACCTTATTGAAGCGATTCATCACCAACTTTGTACAATGGCAAGACATGGATCAGAACCGCCAGTACTTGTGGTGGTGCCTACAGGAGTCGCAGCATTCAATATCAATGGTGCAACTATTCATTCGACACTTTCCCTATCAATATTAAACACTAAAAATTTAGATATAGATGGAAGCCGACTGAAGCAATTACAAGAACAATTGAAAAATATAATTTACCTTATTATAGATGAAAAGAGTATGGTAGGGCATCAAACGCTCGCGTTAATTAACATTCGATTAAGACAAGCATTCCCTGAATATAAAAATGAATCTTTTGGCAGTTAATCCATAATAATGTTTGAAGATTTTGGGCAGCTTCCACCTGTACTCGACTTTCCTATGTATGCTAATGAGACATCGCATGATGAAAATTCAAACAACGGCATTGCAACATACAAACACTTCAGGGAAGTATATAAGCTTGATGTCATTCAAAGGCAGTCTAGTGATTCTGAAGAACAACGGAGCTTCAGAGAGTTACTCTTGAGATTGCGAGAAGAAGAGTGCACACTAAATGATTGGGAAAAATTTAGTACATGCTTTGAAGAAAACCTCAATTGAATTGAGCGGGATCGATTTTCAGATGCCATTTTCTTACTAACAAAGTGGATCGATGTAGATAGAGTTAATGTGAATATGCTCAGCTCATTAAACAGACCAGTAGCCAAAATCCTCGCTGTACATACTGGAAATAGGGACAATACAAGACATTCTATTTGGAGAACAAGGCCCACCTTCACTTCCTATAGCAGTTTTTATTACATTTGACCGTTATGAAGGGCCTAGTATCACGACAATCGAAGGAATTAAAGTTGTTCCGATCGTACCTATTAAGCATATGTGGGAAAATTCTGGAACAGTGTATTCTCAACTTCAGGTACCAATATGCCTCGCGTGGTTAATCACAATCCATAAAAGTCAAGGTCTCACACTGCCAAAGATTAGAATAGACATCGGAGATAGAGAATATGCAGCAGGTCTTTCATTCGTTGCAATTTCTTAAGCTCGTTCACTTAATGATGTTTGTTTCAACTATTTCACTTTTGAAAGGCTCCAACATATAAAGAATTGTAAAAGATTACAAGAGAGGAAGATTGAAGAAAAACGTCTGCATTCTATGATACCTTAAAAAATGTACAATTTTTTCGTTACACACTGATCAAACAATTTAATTGGTTAAACTCATATGATCTTATTTGAAGTCACATAATGGGCGGACATACCGACACATTGTGTAACCTGAGCCAGTCTGTATAAAGTCCTTTGCTTTGCTCCGGACTAATAATGTTATTGTTTATTTAATAATACAATTAAAGCACTAGTTAAAGGATTATAATAAAACAGCTAATAATTTCAACTTAAGCTTGATCGTTTTTGTCAAACTTTTGAGTCTTCAATAGCGCCTCTTTGCTTTAAAAGGCGTATATTCATTGAACC